AATTCAAAACAAATTGTGTTTATACTAACTTATTGTAAGATTTATTATATAAGAACTAACAACAATGTTATTAATACTTTTAAAAAAAAAATTAAATATTTCAAATATATGGTTGTATTTTACGCAATGTGCATTTATTCGTCTGATATACTTATAAAAATATGCATTTTTACTTGCACTACATTCATTAGAAACATTCATGAATTTTCAGTTTCTTTCTGATAATTATTATAAATTGGTTATTAATGTTAAATTAATTCAAAACAAAAATCCTAATGATAAATGAACTAAACTATAATATTAAAATATCATATTTTACTAATATTTATAAAATCGTGACTTTAACTTTTTAACATATTATAGTTAACTTATTAATTTAGATATATTATCGTATATGAACAATTGTCAATTTAAAGTCACAAATTTTTTATCATTTATATTTTTATTCAAAATATTTAAATTATTAAGTTTAATAAAATGTTAAACGGTTAATTTACATCAAAATTTCAGTTAAACTTGAAAAAAATCGAGATACTATTTTATAAATAGTTAAAAGTTATAATTTATAGTGTTAAACCTAAATTATAATACTAAATTAACAAAAATAACCATGAAACAATTTTTTACAATCATTAAGAGTTTTTAAATAAATAAATTAAAAATAACTTACAATAAGAATAGTTAAGAGTAATATTATATAAAAAATTATAATGTTATCTTTAAAAACAAAAATAATGTTTGTTGTTTTAAATAATTACAATTAAAAAAACAAACAATATTCATCAAATAAATTTTAAAAAAATTAAATTTCTATAACCAAATTAAAATAAGTAAGCATTTTTAAATATATTATTTTAAATAACTTACAACAACAATAGTTAAAAGTAATATTACATACAAAAAATATATTGTTATTTTTAAAAACAAAAACAATGTTTGATGTTTTAAATAATTAAAATGATAGAAATTAAAATCTTAAACAAATAAACTTTTTAAAAATAAATAATCATAAAAACTATAATATTATTTAACTATATATTATATTTAATTTGATTCATGACTAACCCGTAGGTAGAGGTCATTGAGGCAATTGGGATTACAAAATTTTAAAAGATATCTATATTATCATACAGTTCATAACAAAAAAAATATTTATATCAACTTATTATAAAATTTATTATATACAAGCAATAATAACGTCATTAATATATTTAAAAAAAACATATATTTGTAAATATTTCATATATATTTATTGTATTTTGCGCAACGAACGGGTATTCGTCTAATAATTAAAATAAAATAAGAAATTCTACAACTCGTAATCGCAAATCACTATTCGAACAAGCATCGTCCACGTACGTGGTAATCCCTAGCAAGCTTGGTATTCAACAATCCTCCATACACATGGTAACACGATTGCAAAAAGACTTACAATCTTTTTCTATTAGTCTTTCTATAATCAACCGTAAATCCTCCTCTAAGATTCATCGTTTGAATCTATTCATTCCACGTTTTGGGTATCACATAATCGGCTTAGTGAATGGATTGTAGGAAGGGATTAAAATCTGACTGATCTTGAGAAATTTGAAATAGACTATACACATATTGCGTAGGGTATTCAACATATTGGGGATAATATGACATTTGGGAATTCCTGCGAACTGCTTTCGCTTCTTCAATGGTTTTATCTATTGTTAATTTTTTTTATTGTCACAAATAGAATCCATTTGGAATATAATATGAAAGGTTGGAATGAAATAAAGAAGATTGGAGTGAAATTTGGTGAGTTATGAAGGTAAGTGATTATTGTATTGGTTTTTTAGAGTATAAATTGACGATACCCCGATACCGAAGGTAATCTGAAAGGCCACTTAGCCTCCTTTTGTCCACCCTAATGTTTCTTTACGTGTCTTGTCAAAATAATCAGTTCTAACATATCATTTTCTAGTGCATAATATATTATCTTTTTATTTGGTTCGACATTTTTATGTTATCATATCCTTTTTTTTTCAAAGTTATTTAGGATCATAGCTAGTCAATAATGGTGCTATGGTGGCGCTATAGCGGTTAATGGAGGTAAAGAAACTCTATTTCAAAATAACAATGACGTTATTAGCATCGTGATTTACCGCAATTTGTCACCGTTATAGCAGCACTAGAACCGTTATTTGAATAAATTCCATTTTTAGGCTATTTTACATAAAACCGATATATATATATATATATATATATATATATATATATATATATATATATATATATATATATATATATATCGAACTATTGAATAAAATTGTTTTTTCATAGCTCAAACCAAAAATTTTTAGCCATTCCATTAAATAAAATTGTGATTTTGTGATTATCATGACTTCCATTGAAACTATGTATATGTTATCTTGCTAATTGTGTTAAAGCCTTCAAATACTACATTATTATTAACTATCAAATTACTTAATCATTTTATTTGCTAATTGTGAATGTGTTGAAGTATGATAAAATGGTAAGTATTGCTTATGTTTTCTTGTTGATTGTGTTAAATTATGATTAATTGTGATATTGGTAATCGGTCTGTGAAATATGATTAACTAATTGTGATATGTGTGTGTCATTAACTAAATATGATATGTGAAGTAAGATTTATTGATTAACTATTTAATTCGATTAGGTTGAACATTAAATGATTTACATATTAATACCAATATATATATATATATATTCTACTTAATATAAAAATTATACTACCGTGAGAACCGCGATTTCAAATAATAGTTGGTGACCGCTATAATATTTTTGACCACGATAACTACTTAGTAGCTCAGTAATTAGTGGTTTCAATAATTTTCATTGGTTTGGTAGTCATGTATGTAATACCCACATATAAATATAATTTACATTTAATGAAAAATTGAAATTTTTTTCTAATAGTGTGCCCCCTGTCATTTAATGGAATTTTTTATGTTTACCAAAACAAATCACATTTTACTAAGTTTTGTTAATTTTTTTTAGAACAGCTAAGTACACATTTATTAATAATAATTACACCAAAATATGTTGATAACACTAAAATCACCAACAGTTGAGGGATCAACAACTTGGATCGAAAACCATGGTTTAGTTATCTAGAGCTTCAAGCACCATTTGGCATATTATTTATTAAGTCAAGATGAATGTCATGAATCTTGGTTTTGAATTTAAAACTTGGTAGCAAATGGAAATCATGTTGGATGATGATACTTTGCTTTTGTTGGATGAACGACTTGCCTAGGCACCCTTAAAATCATTTTCCACAACCTTGTGTGATTGATGTCACTTTCTTTTGGTCGGAGCTTTAGCTTTACTTAAGATCAGTGTTGTAAAATCTGCCGAATTGGACGATTACTCCTCCGGGTACTTACTACTTGACCCCTTACCGAGGCGAGTTACATAATCCCAAATACTCTCAGATCGGCCTCTTACTGAACTAAGCAATGTTGAAAACTCGATCAACTCGATGATTAACATGTATAATATACTTAATCATTTATTATTTAATACATACACATGCTATTATTACTACATATATATATATATATATATATATATATATATATATATATATTCAGTAATTAGTCACGAAGTGAGACTATTATGTGTTTTTCAGTTTTTGTGTATTCATATTTATATAATTTTGTTATATATTTCAATCAACTTATGATTTTGACATATATAATTTCCCTATAAATATTTTTACATGAATTACCAAATCTGAGTACTCGCTACTCGGTAGTTGGCCGAACAGGTACCGAGTAACGAGTTCCACAACCTTGCTTAAGATAGGCGATTTTACATTGATATCTTGTTGAGATTATTGGATTTAAAGATTACCACTTCGTTGGGATTCAAATCGAGTGGGTTAGCTTACCTCTCCTCAAGGTTTTATGTTTTACATGGAGTGTTTGTTTGCTAAAAATATGATAAATAATCTTTAAAAGGTGTGGTATCCCCTTTATCTCCTACTCCCAAGTGGATGAAATCATGATGAAAAGGAAATTGCTCACAACATAATTTATGGTCTTTTATAGAATGTTTGGAAGACAAAGGAACGGCAAAATGTTTAACAAGATGTTACATTCTCCTATCAAAATGGTTAATAATGTTGTAACAATGGTGTTTAGTTGATCTAAATTTCGATACAAACAATGGAATTCTAACTCTATGTTGCTCCTCCGATTCCAAAAAAAAAACAAGAAAACAAAAAAAATCTCATGTATGTAGGTAGATATTTTCTTCAATATATACAGGGATGAGCAGCGGAACTCGATACCAACTTTCGTAACCAAAGCCGCTACCCGCTGGATACCCACCAACACCAATATATAAGTATCATCTTGAATAACATTTTTTAAAATTCTAGATATTTAAATAATTTGTTTAACTTTTAAATATCCGTATATAATTTTCACTTTGAAATTAAACCAATATTAAATTTTAACTCATAGAAATATATGTTTAGCTATGGATTTCAATTCTTTGAATGCTAACTCATAGATATAGTTTTAAATATAAATTTCAACAAATTTAACGAACTGGGTACCCGCTAGGAGAACTGCTACCCGCCGGTTTCGGTTCTGGTTCAAACATTTTAGGGACTATCGATTCCGATTCCAGATAATTAAGGCAGGTACCTACCTATGCTCATCCTTAAATATATGTAGGACTTTAATCCTCAACCATTTCAAGAATGACATATACTTTTCCGCACACATAGGAGAGGAAAAACTCTTTGCTGCAATGTGTAATGCTAAATTTTATTAAGGTTTGACCGGATATTTAAAATTTATCTAGAAAATATTTTTATTTTAGTATATTATTCTCGTGATATAACGTTATCTATATTTAGTATTGAATTACCATAATTTTCACCAATTATAATGCTATAACTTACAAACGATTCACTTGCGACCCAGCATCACAAACAATATTCTATTCATTTACAGGTCGCTCACAGCACTAATGGAGAAATGCTTATCATACTTGTGCTTGAGGTACGTATACAACCCAACTGAAATCTAATTTGTGTACGTTATTTGAAACAATGTTTCCTCTATTGTGTTGTAGTTGAAGACTACTTATCATCAGTACGCAGTAGAATTCCCTCAGTTTGTTCATTCTCATTGTCAATATCTATTATATAAGAATGAAATCTTCAATCGTTGGTCCCCATGGCTGGACATGAAACGAAATATAAACTCAACAGGATTTACGATTTCTGCATTTGCATGTTTGCGAGAATTATCTCCATTTAATTCTACCTTTTAACATACGAAAAAAAAAAAAAATCAATTTCATGATTTTTTTCATTCATTGTTCTAGTTTGAACAATTTGTTCTACTTGTCAATTGTCATTACATAATTCATGACTCCATTATTATAATATTAAAAGTCAACTCTTACAAAAGTTTAAAAATGAATAGTACATCGTTTTTATGAAATAATGTCAATATACTCTATCATTTTTTTTTTTTTTTTGTAAACTGATTAAGTTTGTTCATTCGTGATTTTAGTAGGAGAATAGCGTTCTTTACCAATATTGCTATATTTCAAGAGTCGTAATAAAATCGTTTATCTTCTTGTAGGTTCTTATTTCAGATTTCCAAAACAATTCTGATAATATTTCAGATTGTTTCTAATGCATCTCATGCATTGAGTGACTTCTCAACAACACTCAATCCTAACAACAACATACAAAAAGATACCGGGGTCATATCATTTGATTTTTCATATCCACCCGCGTATCCTACAGGTATTAATTGTTTTATGATTGGTATTAAAACCATCAAAAGTCAAGGTTTATATATATTTTGAATTTTACAAATATCAAAATTTGTAATTATTGTTTTATGATTGGTATTAAAACCATCAGAAGTCAACGTTTATATTATTGAAACTTTATGTGATTTTAAGAAAGCTAATATTGATTAATATGACGCAGCTGTACATATTTCCAATAAAAAATTAAATCCATAATAGGGTTATCTCTAGAAAAATGTCTTTAGTTTGTCTTAGTTTAGAGAAACACTCCCAAATTTTCTGTATTTTAACAGAAAAGTCCCTGACAGGTAAAAAAATTCCAATCGGCCCTTTTGTCCGGTTTTACATATTTTGCCCGGTAACCTATATCTTTCTATTAAAAAATTTTAAAGACTTTTTCGTAATTTTGGTCTACATATTATGAGTTTTCGAATATAATAACACACTCTCCATAATCTTTCAAAAAATTACTAATAATTTGAATAAACTTACATAAAACTCACTATATTTTTTTAACAAAAATGACAGATTCCTTGGTATATATTCAAATTCAATACCGGACAAAAGAGATGACCTAAATTTTTAGCCCGATAATCAAGATTTTTCTCTTAAAAAAATAAAGTTTGACACTTTTTCATAAACTAAGTTACCAAAATTTTCCATTATAATAAATGTAACATTTTCTTGTGTTAGGTGGAGACTTCGGAAAAGGAGTCATTGATCTTGGAGAATTAGAAGTACACGAAGCATTATATTTCAAGAAAATCTGGACAATAAAGAGTGGTGGACCCGATGATTTCGGTGTATCATTTTTCGAACCTGCTTCCATTCCATTAGGGTTCAGTTTGCTTGGCCATTATTGCAATCCCAACTCAAAGTCCATCTTTTCCTCAGTTCTTACTGCTAAAGACACCACAGGTAACCTATATTGGGGTTCCCTAAGGCGTCCCATAGACTACACTCTTATATGGACAAGCAAAGGTGTAGATATCGACAAAGATGTCGATGGCTACATTTGGATGCCTATTCCACCTTTTGATTACAAAGCCATTGGCCACATCGTCACCACTTCACCCGAAAAACCCTCACTTGATTTGGTCAGATGTGTTAGAAAGGACTTCACCGATGCGATCACAGTTGACGAATTGTTATGGCGACTAAAGATGGTTGACATTAACATATATACCACAAAGCCAAATGGTGGAGCGCTAAGTGTTCCTACAGGGACGTTTTTGGCACGTGTTAATGGATCCGACATGCAAGAGTTAACGTTAGCATGTTTGAAGATGGTTAGGAATGATACTTATTCAGCTATGCCGAATTCTTTACAAATTAAGCGAATGATCGAAGCTTATGCTCCTATGGTGTATTTACATCCGGATGAAGAATACCTCCCGTCTTCGGTTTTATGGTTCTTTCAAAATGGAGCTGAGCTACATCGAACTGGCATGATCACATGGCCAGTGATCGACGATGGTGTAAATCTTCCAAGCAATAGTTCAGTGGATGGTTTGTATCTCGACCTCCCATCTGATGAAGCTGAGAAAGAAAGGGTGAAGAAAGGGTTTTTGCCAGATGCGACTGCTTATGTGCATGTAAAATCAGCGTTAGGAGCAACGTTTACTGATCTTGCCATATGGTTGTATTACCCTTTTAATGGTGGAGGGAGGTTTCAGCTAGGACCTTTCACGATTAGCTTGGGGATGATTGGAGAACATGTTAGTGATTGGGAGCATATAACGTTAAGGATTGATAACTTCAATGGGATTCTAAAATCAATCTATCTCTCTCGCCATGCTGCTGGAGTATGGGTGACACCTCATGAATTTGAGTTCATGAATGGAACTCGGCCAATTGTGTATGCATCCTTGCATGGGCATTCACACTACAATACTCCAAGTTATCATCTACATTCGAATGTTGAGATTGATGCTGATGACATGAAATTGTTAGAGGAGGTGCTTAAGATGGATTCAAGCAAGTTGCCTGTCGTGAGGGCGGAAAAGATTTTAGGGTTTGGTGTTAGAGATGATACTGGGAAAAGCAACAACTTGATAGATATTGCATCCAGCTATCAAGTTGTTTGTGTTGATTATAATGTTTCGTATATGGAACCATGGTTGAATTATACCGGTAGATGGGGTCCTAAGTTTAGTTATACATTTACAAAAGAGGTGATAAAGATAGCAAATCACTTTCCGGGAAAGTTCAAGCGACTTATCTTAAGGATTTTGCATAAGCTCCCTGCTGAGTTACTCGGAGAAGAAGGGCCTGAAGGCCCTAAGATGAAAGAAAGTTGGACGGGGGATGAGAGGACTTGATTATAATGTTATAATGTATAATGAATATTTAAAAGGTCAATCATATAATTGTATTAAGAAGAAAAGTAGTATTTAGTTATCTAATATGATCCAATTACAACCATTCAGTTTTATATCACCAAATGGCTTTTAGTCTAATGATATCCGGGTTGTTCTTATATGGAAGTCGAGTGTTCAAGTTTTACTAGGGATATAGGTGGATTTAAGAGTAATTTAACAATAGAATAAATTTGTGGTTTAAAAAAATCAGCTTTATATCAAGACTCCCATCTATTTATTAGTTCGTATTAAAGTATCTATAAATAGTTTAATGGAATAGTTATATTGGTTTTGAAGGATATTGAATTTGGGAGCTGATATCTCACTTGGTTTTTTTATTTATCCAGTTACTAAAATTTTCCTTTTCCTCTTATGCCTTTTAAAATTCATAGTCATTAAAACCAGATCTTTTTCTTTTTCCTTTTATGCCCTTTAAAATTCAGTCATTAAAACCAAATCTCCAAATTTGATTTCACCTTATCTTGATTTGTTTCTGTTTTTAATTTTTATTTTTATCCACTTAATTTGGAAACTAAATTCCATGATTTTGGTTTCACAAGGAACCTCGATTGGTTTTATTTTTCACTTTTATTTTAATTTTGACTATATTTATATATTATTAAACTAAAGTATATATATATATATATATATATATATATATATATATATATATATATATATATATATATATATATTAGCTGTTTACCCGCACCAAGCAACGGGTGCAAATTGAATTATTCATTGAACTTTACTAATACTTTTGTATTGGTATATGATATCTCTCTAAATAATGTCAAATATAGTTGGTCATGAGAGAAAATCGACTATGAAAGATAAATACCTACATTTTGAATAGTTTGTCTCTGAGCTTTATGCGGCACGCATGGAATCTGGGGCAGTGAATACTTTATCTACGGCTAATATTTCATTTTTGAAGATAGTTTCTTTTTTGTGGGCGTTAGATAGTTTTTTTTTAATATTAATTGTTTTTAGACAAATAATTTTGTTTCAGAAATATGTCATATTACAAAGAATATGTAATGTTTCGTGGAATGGTTTCTTTTACAATATAGTGTTTAATGTTTCATATTTGTTTCGTGTTTTGGATTTAAAGTTTAGATGAATTTTTTTTCCTGGAAGAAGAAATATGCAAATAGTTATTGTAAAACATAATTTGCTTCTCTTTTGAATAGCATCCTAATCTTTTTAGTAACTTATATTATATCTCGGTTTTTTTGGTTATTAATTATTAATGATTTTGGTCTGCAAGTTGTTTAAGTGAACATCCTAACTTTCAATTTTGTAATAATGGTCATTTTGCACTTAAAAAGTTAAAACAAATTATATATGAACAAAATTTGTAATTTCTTTTATCCTTTAACTTCGATATAAATTTTCAAAAAATTGTACAAGTTTGCAAATATTAAAAATTTTAACTAAAAGGATAATAGAATAGTACAAATTTGATCTCTATGGAATTGTATTTTTCGAATTTAGTATAAAACAATTGATTATCTTATGTCAATTATTACCATAAAAGAATCGTAATTTTACTACATCAAAAAAAGAATTGTTTAATCTTGAAATCAATGTACACATACAAGAACTTGTGTTGTTGAAGATAATTTCAATTGGGGACCTTCATGAAACCTGCAACCAAACAAAGATAATATCAATGGATAGAAATGAGTGGCGACAACACAATACCCAATCCAATTTGATACACATGGATCTCCAAGCCTCCGGTACCTAATCCTACTATTTGGATCAACAAAGTTTTGCGTAATAGCTTTGGGTGTTGTCATTGCACATTAAACTTTACCATGAGTATTAGTCTTCTTTCTAACATATTTAATTTGATAAAATATAAGCACTTGTAAATGTAAATCTTTAATAAAAACTTCTCCAAAAACATGAAAACAAAGCAGTTTACCTTCAAAGTTTTTCGTTTGGCCTCTCTAGTCTCTAACAACAAAAAGCAACATTACAATTTACAACAGAAGGAAAGGTTATACATTTATAAAATAGTCAAATTAATACATATATGATATCATAAATACTATTTTTCTTCCCCAAATTTACAAATATAAAAATGTTGTGAGAATTTTCATAAGCTTATTTGATTGAAATATCAGAAATTTACTCCCAATACTCTACATTCCCAAAAAGGCAGCTGGAGGACACATGTCACATAAACTTCTAGAAGCTAACTCAAACAAATTAAATATATATCTGAAACATAGTTGGGATGCTTACCAAAAGCTAATCAAGATGGTAAATTCATTCTTACTTTGACTCCCCTTCACCCATGCATCTAAAAAAGAACTCAAAATATAAAGCCTTGAGTTCTGTAAAAAGGTTCAAATGAGAGAGAGAGAGAGAGAGAGAGAGAGAGAGAGGATGTTGAACCCAAAATACATGATTCGGCTCAAATTCTAACCCAGCAACCTTAGCCTTGATCATAAAAAAGACCATTTGGTAAACCAAACTACTATCATTTAAATGAAACACAACTTGGTTTAAAACTCAAAAAAGAATAAAGACGAAGGATTAATTTAGTTTGTTACCGTCTTTTCCAACAAGAAAACTTCATGTAGATAAGGAAAAATTGAGATAGCGTAAGCACTTTGCTGGTGTCTGCAAGCCCTAATTACAAAATTAAAAAAAGTGAAACCTCTACGAAGAGAAGATACATGGAAAAAGAAAGAAAAAAAATGAAACCCCTAATATCATATCTACCTATATACCTGAAGCATAACGAAAATATAGGATTCAAGAAACCGTTTCTCCCGTTAATCGAATTAGACACTTAATTAAACCCTTTATACTCTTTTTTTTTTAATGTTTTAAGAAACTGTTTTCTCCTATTAATCGGTTTTGAAAAATGTTAAAATACAGAAAAGCAAAACATATTTTCAACATCTGAAAGATTTAGCTAGTGGACACTGAACTACTTTTTTATGCTTATTATAATAATAGTTCAGTGGCTAAATTGATATTGTAAAAATAGATTGTGTTTTTTTGTATTTTGCCTTGAGATAAACCCAGGTAACCGCCAAAATGGTATTTTTCTAAAGTATTTCACTTTTAAATCACTATGGAAATTAGTCAAGTGACTAAATTGATATAATTTTTTTCCTGTATAATGCCCTTTGCACAAATGTAAATGGAGAAAAATGATAAAGATTAAGGATCTTACATTGTGTTTTAGTACGTAGAATGATGAATCAATGGAAATTGCCACTAAATCACCACTATCAGCCCATTATAGGTTCTAAAAATGAAGAAAAAAGAAACAAAAACAATATTATTTCTTATACTTAAGCAGAAGTGGTGATAGAAAAGGTGATATGTGAACAATATATAAAAATAAAGATAAGGGTAACAACTATTACTTTGACATTAATGTCAATCCGTTGAATTAATCTGTACTCAGACCAATCATAAAAACATATAAAATCATCTAAGCACATTGCCAACAAAGATCCTCCTTATATCCGCTCAGCTGAAAATGTCGGCATGATACTCTTCTTTTCCTGATTAATAAGACCATAGAAAAGAATTTTAAAAAAAATGAATAGGAAGGTAAGAAGAAGGGCAATTTCGTCATTGATTAAAATCATTAGTTATAGGGAGTGCACCAACCTAGAAAGATTTGTTAAAAATCTTGACTGTAAATGTGCTCTCTGTAAAAGCATACTTACCATCTGGTGACCAACCAAATTCCAAAACAGAAATGCTGATATGTGAAAACATACATATGGTTCCGATTCAACTATGGATACATAAACCTTTTTGTATTACAAATGATCAATAAAGATTTTAAAAGCAATATATATGTAAGACTTCTAATTTTAAAATAACACCAAGATCAATCTCGAAAACAAACATAAACTTCTAATCTCAAGCTATGTTATGGCAGCAAGTGAGTTAATATGCAAAAGAAATGTTGAATTTTTTTATTAATAAAAACCGAATATTTCGAAATATAAAAAATAAAATGTTAAATCGTGTGCTAATTATAACATCAGAAATTTAGAACCAATTACCAAAAGCCCTTGTTCTCATATCGTCGATCTTCCTTCGCTTGGCCTTTCTGCTTTTTGAAAGCCATCTATTTTGAGGTCTAAGCCACCGGTATACCTGAAATTGAAATTAAAACAAAAAATATCCAAATCATTTTGATGATGAAAGATGATAAAGAACTAAGAATCACATATGGAGATGAGGTCAACTGGTCAAGATAGGATTGAAAACTTTGTTATGAAGCCATAATTGGGGTTTCATAATGACAAAAACATCTAGAAACTTGTTTAACTTTGATGAATGACTCAAGTAATTCAGTTAACGGAATGATGAACACACAAATTGGGGTCCAGGAAGAAAGGTGAGGGCTTTCATCGTTGTTTTCATCAAACACCAACTCCATTCTTCGTAATACACACACTAATGGATGTTGGTGGTGAGAGTTAGGGTTGTGGAGACTGTTAGGGTTTGTCGTCGTAACAGAACATAGAAGAGGGGCAAGAGAGGGGGCGATGGTGGATGTAACTTAAGGTTAGGGTTTCCTGTGTAATGAAGGGTTATGGTAACATAGGGATACCAGAGACGGAAGAGAGTAAGGAAAGAGTTAGAAGAGATGTTGCTGGTACGAAGGTAGTTTGGGAAGAAGGAGAAGCAGCATAGCGAACGGCTTAGGGTTTCTCGATGAAGACGACTGAATTAGGGTTTCAGTGAGTAAGTTTGAGTCAGGAATAAAAAAATATTGTTTGATTCCCGAATTAATTCCCTAAATGATTAACGTAGGTGTATTGGAAAATAAGTTGTACATGAGGTAGTAGGGTTTGTACCTCTTAGATTTCAAGAAATGGGCAATATGTTTAATAATATAGTTAAGATAAGATAAGATATATATATATATATATATATATATATATATATATATATATATATATATATAT